TCACCGGAGAGGAGGCTGCAGAGGGAAGTCTGGGTCAGGGGGCCAGCACCTCCACCGTCGCCTTGAACAGCACATTTTCTTAGTGAAGGCTTTGACAGAGGCGCTGAGTGGGAGTGTCACACCAGAGCTCCAGAAAAAGTCACCATCAACACTGGCACGGGCCAAGGACACCCAGGAAGGCCAGCCCTTTGCGCCTGCTCCCAAGACCCTCCGGGGCTCGAGCAGTGTGAAGCCAATTTACTGCCGGCTTGGAGAGGGGCAGCGGCACAGGGGGTACACACGGCAGACCTGGGGTTTAGAAGCCCACCTGTACTCAGTTGGCCTATCCATCCTGCCTGCTACCCGTATTCAAAGGAATACCCCAGTCACCGCCCACAGCCAGGCCCACCTAATGGTCAACTCAAGATGAACACATCGGTGGGTTAACCTGTTAGTGCCCTCGTTAAGACCCCGTCAACCCTACTTTGTGGCACGAGCCGCAGGGACCAAGCCTTCAACACATGGGCCCTTCAGGGGACTATTTTGTACCCCAATCATAATGGATGGGAGCCTATCCCTTGGAGCATACACCAGATGGCCACAGTGGCCTGGATGTTTCAGTTTCCAACACCCAACTCCGGGTTGCTGACCCCTCTGCTTAGAGCCTGTTCGGCTTTCCCCGTCTCCTTCAAAGGTTGCTTCCTCACTGGCCACTGGGTCCAAGCCACGAGCCCTTCCAGCCTACCATTCAGTCCACTGGGCCTCACTGTTGGTTCCCAGGGCAGCGTGTCAAACTATCCCAGGAGTCAGTGCCACAACAGTGAGAAGCTGCCCCATGATGTTCCCGGGGATGGAGGGAGAAGCGTTGAGGGTCTTCTGAACGCAAGATACCTGTCTGCGGCCTCTCCACACAGCTGGGTCCAAGTGGCAGGCACATGGCCTTTGACCAAGTCCCCATGAGTGGAAGTGAACACCTTTTTTTTTTTTTTTTTTTTTTTGGTTTTTCGAGACAGGGTTTCTCTGTGTAGCTTTGCGCCTTTCCTGGAACTCGCTTTGGAGACCAGGCTGGCCTCGAACTCACAGAGATCCGCCTGGCTCTGCCTCCCGAGTGCTGGGATTAAAGGCGTGCGCCACCACCGCCCGGCTGGAAGTGAACACCTTTAATCCCAGCACTCGGGAGGCAGAAGCAGGTTAGAAGTTTTGTGAGGTCTACATAGTAAGTTCCAGGACAGCCAGGGCTACATAGAGAGACCCTGTCTTTAAAAAAAAAAAAAAAAAGTAACCTCATGAAAGTCACCTAGCGCCATTCCCCTGCTCATTCCCACTCCATTCTCCTCAATATAATGAAGCCACTGATCCAGGTCATGCCAAACGAGGGGGAACCAGATACCACTATTTACGGGAGACGTGCCCAAGAACGTGGACGTCACCACCACACCTGTCCACCTGCCCCCGTCCTGTTTCTGGACCTTGTTGCTGCCGGCCATCTCCATCCAGGGTGCTGGTTCCTTCCCTCACTGCCTACACAGTGGGGCCCAGGGAACGGTGGGTGTCTGGCAGGCAGAGCGGTGGCCGCGGTCCAGAATGGACAGGCTCAAGCGTCCACTGTGTCCTGTGGGTAGCGGGGCCTCAGCAGTGCAAAAGCCATTGCTGAAGCCCTGACTCTCGAGGCCAGCTGCAGTCAGTCTACTGTGACCCCCTTCAGCGTTGACAGATGCCACCGAGATTCCAAAAAAACCAACTGGAACGGGCAGGGGGGAGGGATGCCGAGCTTCCCCAATGGGGCCATGCCGCCTCCCCCTTGTCCTCACCTAAGGAACCCACTGTCACGGAGCTCCCCGGCCCCTCCAGAGGACCTTTCCCTATTCCCTATGGCCCTGTGTTTACCAGACTGTGAGATGGTATGAGCACTTGTGACTGGGACTTTGCCTATCTGGGCCCAGGAGCCAAATAGCCTAGGGTCCCAAGTCAGGTCTATTGTAGAACAGGCTGTGTTTGAAGCACTCGGGGGTAGCCAGAAGAAAAAGTCTTTTAGGGACCAAGGCTTTAAGTGGGGATACCATCTCAAAGGCGTTTGTGGAGCCCATGATTTAACCAGGCCCGTGATGGCAGACTCCAGCCTCGCTGTCGCCATGGCCTGAAAGACGCTCACCAACCACCAGCCCTGAGCAGCAGGATGATGGATGACTCATGAGGGCGGCCCTCAGACATGCTCCAGCCCTGCCAGGTGCTGCCTGGGGTGGAGTGATGGTGGCCCAGAAGACAGACTGACCTAGCTCTGCCCGTGGCTGGCTGTAACCTCTGACCTCATCACCTACAAAATAGAGACCTGTGTGTCATCTTACCATGTATCAGGTGACGACACCCTGTGCCTGATAGGACTTAGAAACCCAAGGGCTGCTTGGCTGTCTACTCAGGGTCCCTCGGGAGGCTCAGCTGGGGCTGAGCAGGACTCACATGGCCAAGGCCTCTATTCATCCCCATAGACCTCTCCAAGGTCCCTGTGTTGACTGGGTGTTGTGGGAGAGCCGGACTGCAGAAAACCATGTTTCCTTCCAAAGGGTCCTCCTACTGGTTATACAGGTCAACCCTGCCCGGTGTGGGACCTGGGGACTGCAGGGGCTAGAGTGCCAGCTGGTCAGAATCATTAAGGAGACGGGTCTCCAGGCTGGCTGCCACACGTCACACCCATCCCTACGCACATCACAGGGATGCCTCCCCCACCCGCTCACAGTTGTTTGGCCCTCTGTACACAAGCCACTCAGAAAATGGTGGCTGCAGAGCCTGTACCTAGCCAGCGCCGGCCATGAGGCTCTGTATCCGGACCCCCTCTCCCTCGAGAGCTGCCACCTGCAGGAGGATGCCCACTGACCAGATGGGGGCAAGGTGCGCCCGCTTTTGGTAAGAAGACCAGGGAAGCAGGCATTTCCTCCCCTTTCTTAAGGTTCTGAACACCTAATTTATTCCCTCCATTAGATAGATTTTGTAGATTTAATCATTTTCACAGTTGGTGGCTCATTGGATACTCAAGATAAACTCCGAATGAAAGCATAATGCAGAGGACAAATGAGTTTTCACACCACAATGGCAGACACTTGCTTGGAAAGAGTTTAAGGGAACGAAAATACACACGGCTATCATTTTTCCCCCCTCCCGGCAGCTGCTTTTGCTGAGTCTGGTAGGTTTCCACAGCTAATTTCACCAGTTTTGTTCATCTGTAAAATTGCATAAAAGTGACATTTTTGGGCTCATTATAGCAACTGCTGATTTATGGCTGGCAAATGAAGAGCTGGTCCCTTTTTTGTGGGACTCTCAGAGCGGTGCTAAGTGCCCATGAAATTGCTTGTATAATGTAGTTTAAATCCAATCGCAGAGAAACATTCCCCCGTTGGCCAAAGTGACATTTCCATTCTCCACACCAAGTTTATTTTAGGCCACTTAGGAGCTGGGGATGCCCGGAGCAGGGTCGGGGGTGGACTTACCTTCTGGGCCCAGGTGAGGCCCGACGGATTGAGAGATAGAGGGATGCTTCACCGTTGCATGTCGTCACCTCCTCGTCCTGGCCTGCTGCACCTGGGCCTTGCTGGCCCGAGGGGCTGGGCGGATCACACCTGTTCTCTTCTGTGTGCTGTGTGTGGGGTGTGAGGCAGCCGCGAGGGCCAGCCGACTGCAAGCCACCAGTATGCAGACCCCTAGTCGTGACAAGCACGTATCCCCAACTGTTTGCAGTGCTCAGTGTGGCAAGAAGCTGCCCTGATGTGCTCAGGCGCTGCTGCCTCGGCTGGCCCGACCTCTCCCAGCTGCCCCTGGCAATCCTGTCTGGGAAGGCTGACTCTGCTGCTGCCAGTCTGCCTGACACAGAGAACCATCATCCAGACTAACGCTGGACCAGGGCCACTCTGGTCAGGGCTCTGGGAGGAGCAGATAGGAACTCCAATTGAAAGGACCTCGCGGGTATGTCCCTCTCTCTGACGAGGGCCTGCCCTGGGCCAGACTTGAACACCGGTCTCCTCCAGCACCGCCTACTACATACACATGGACCTGCTAACTCCTCACAGCCACCCTCAGAGAGAGGCAGCCTTAGGAGCAACATTGCCCTACTTTATAGATGAGGAAAGGGGGGCTCAGCATGGTGAAGCCCCTCACCGAGGTCCCCCAGGAGTTACGATGTCCTGTCACCCACTGTGATACACGCCACTGCTGAGGTCACCCTGCTGACCGGCACCATTATTATCCCCGTTCCACAAGTGGGAGAAGCCAAGCTTGCCCTAAGCAGACAGCTTGCCTAGGGCCCACAGAACCAGGGTTCCACCCAAACCCTGCCAGCACCAGTACAGGTCTTCCTGTGTGCCTCCCTGTCCCCCTGCCTCAGAGGAAGCTCTGGGCTGTGCTCCGGTCTAGAAGGGCTCAGGACGCCAGGAGGGGGTCTGTGGACCAGCAACTCACCTCCCCCGTGGCAGAGCCCGTTGTGACCACCTAGAGTGGGTTAAGTCTCACAATTTAGAATGTCACACACAGTATTGATGGGCCAGCCACCCTGAGCACCCAGCCCAGCTGGTCCACGTTGCCGGAAGTGGGGGTGGGGCTGAGGGTGCTCAGTTGGTAGGGCACTTGCCTAGCACCGTGAGGCTCTGGGTTCGATTCTAGGCACTGCGTAACAGGTCGTGATGGCACACAGCTGTGACCCGAGCACTTGGGGAAGAGGGGCAGAAGGATCAGAAGTTCAAGGTCATTCTTGTATATGCATCAAGTTTGAGGCCCACCTGGAACACACAGAGGACCCTATCCCAAATAGGAAACAAAGCGGCAAGCTTGGCTGTGGCTGAGGAGTGGTGGGTGGGGCCTGTACCTCGACCTTGTACGTGGGTGCGGTGTCCTCTACGGACCTTACGCTTTGGTTCAAAAGTTGGAAGTGTGGGACCAGTGAGAGAAAGGGGAACTGGGCAGCTCCTGGAGCTCTGGTGGGGAATAAGGGGCGGTGGGCGGCGGCCTCACTCACCTGTGCCTCCGTCTCCCTGCAGGCGAGTCAGTGGCCAGCTCTATGCATTCCGCCCGCTACCCAAGCCCAGCCGAGCTGGATGCCTACGCCGAGAAGGTGGCCAACAGCCCACTGTCCATCAAAATCTTCCCCACCAACATCCGAGTGCCGCAGCACAAGCACCTGAGCCGCACGGTCAACGGCTATGACACCAGCGGCCAGCGCTACAGCCCCTACCCTCAGCACGCCGCCGCCGGCTACCAGGGCCTGCTGGCCATCGTCAAGGCTGCGGTCTCCTCCTCTGGTTCGGCCGTGCCTGCTGGGCACACCAAGAGTGTGCTTAAGAGTGTGGAGGGCAAGCGGACTAAACTGTCACCGGCCACCGTGCAGGTGGGCATCGCACCCTACCCGGTGCCCAGCACCCTGGGGCCTCTGGCTTACCCGAAGCCACCCGAGGCACCTGCCCCACCCCCCAGCCTGCCGGCAGCAGCCACTGCCACCTCCGTGATCCCTCTGCCGGGCCGGGGCCTGCCCTTGCCACCCTCCAACCTGCCCTCTATCCACAGCCTCCTCTGCCAGTTCAACCAACAGTGCCAGGCCCCGGGGGCTGCACCGAGCGCCTGTCAGGGCGTGGCTGTGCCCCACCCGAGTCCAGCCAAGCACGGCCCGGTGCCCAGCTTTCCGAGCATGGCTTACTCAGCCACGGCCGGTCTGCCGGACTGCCGGAAAGGCACAGAACTGAGCCAGGGGGCCACATCAGCCCTGACGCTGGCTGGGGCCACCAAGCCAGCAGGGTATGCCGAAGGTGGCCTGGACTACCTGCTGTGGCCCCAGAAGCCGCCCCCGCCCCCGCCCCAGGCCCTTCGAGCCTATGGAAGCAGCACTGGCACCAGCAAGTCCCCCGAGACTTGTGGCGGGCGGGCGTTCGAGAGGGCCAACGGGTCGCCCCACAACTGTGGCGTGGGACTGCCCACCGGCTTCACCGTGGGTCAGTACTTCGCGGCCCCCTGGAACAGTGTTCTGGTGACGCCGACCAGCGACTGCTACAACCCTGCAGCAGCGGCAGTGACAGAGCTCGGGCCCGGGGTTGCCAGGGAGCTCGCCGGGCCTCCCGCCGACACACTCTCGGGCCTGGCCAGCAAGAGTGTGTGCAATACCGCGGTGCTGAGCAGCAGCCTCCAGTCGCTGGAGTATCTCATCAATGACATCCGGCCACCCTGTATCAAGGAGCAGATGCTGGGCAAGGGATACGAGACGGTGGCCGTGCCCCGGCTGCTGGACCACCAGCACGCCCACATCCGCCTGCCGGTCTACAGATAAGGTCTGCCCGCCCGGCGGGCACGTGGGACTGACGGACAGATGGACAGGGTGCTGGGGGTTGGCAGGCCACAGCACAGGCTGGTTACCCTCCGCGCTGCTGCTGCGGTAGGGAGGCAGGTTGACCTCACATACCAGGGCTTCTCCCCCAACTGGCTGCCCCAGGAAGCAGGGAGGGATCCAGGGCTGCCTGCAAGGCCGGTCCTTCCTCCACTGAGGCAGGGAGGGAGGACCTTCTGCAGACAGAAAGTTCCTTCTGGGGCTCCAGCAGAGGCGCTCAGACCAGGGGTGCTCCAGTCAGCACACGTCACACACTGGGTTTCTACCCACAATTCCCTAGTCTCTCAGAAAAGGAGCAGAAGGGATCCATAGGAAGTCCCTGGGTCCAAAGTGCCCCCCACCAACTAATCCAGGTAAAGACTACTCTGACTCCAGACTCCTAGAGGCCTCAGGACAACCAGCCCCCTGTTCCTCCTGACTCTCCCCTCCCCATCCTTCCTAACAGGAATCACGTCCCACCCTCCTCTCTACACCCTGGACCAGCCTCTTCTCTGTTCCCTCCAATACACCTTACAGGGCTGCTGGGAACAGCTGGTGCACTGCACAAGGGCACGTTGCCCAGGGAGACTCCCCTGGCACCCTAGACTTGTATATTTATTACAGTTGTCTGCATTTCGAGAAAGGGCCACCATTTCCCTATTCGCACAAAGATGTCACAGGGGCTAGCAAGGAGCCTGTAAATTCAGACTCCGTTCACACGGACGATCTTGTCTTCTTCCAGTGTGGGGTCTCCTGGGAACTAGTGAGAGGGTGACCTACTGGCTATAACTGGAATACCCAATCCAACTCCTGGTCTGCACCCCACTCCCCACCCCCAGGCCCGGCCTGCACTGCTGTGGGGTAGGGTGGGGTGGGGTAGATAAACCCCAGAAGTCGTCAAGGCCTGCAGTCCCCTGGCCCCAGCCCGGCCTCCAGGCGCTCGCTCCGGAAGTGGTACCGTATCTCTCCAAGGCCTGTCCAAGCACTAAGTGCATTTACAAATCTCTGAGAATGTTTTTTTTATACTAAAATTGACCATTATATTCTACTGTGAGAAGTGCAGCCTGCACTATATTGTTTTAAAAACGAAGAGAAAGAGAAAAAAAAAAAAGAAAACAGATGTCGTCTCAGCTGTGAGCTTGCTATGAAGCTGTTTTCAGTCTTGCTGGCTCCCTCCCTCAGGGAGCCACAGGAGGGCACCCCAGGGAGCCTGGCAGGGGTGGGGCGGGAGGGTGGCACACACGGTGTTCCATGCCCAAGTTACTACAAAACTCTTCAAGCTGGGTGCTGCCCCACGCGTTCTACGTCATGTTTGGTGGCCAGTGGTCCATCCACCGGAACAAAATCGGAGTCAAACCTGAGCGCCCAACGCTCTTTCTAGGGCTGGGGTGGTTTCAAACCCCCCCCCCAATAAGCCGCGCCCCAGCTTCTGTCTATCATCCTCCCGGCCTAAATGGTGGCAGACTAGCTGGGGACAGGCTTGCCATCATTCTGGCCAGCCCAGAGGACACTGGGCCAGACACCTGGCACATACCCATACCCTGCCAATCCTGTCACCGGGAGCTCGTCATTCACCAGGGACCAGTTGGAACTTGCCAGAGACTCACAATGTTCTTGGAAGGTGGGAGTCTCTTGCCTAAGGATATAATGCCATGGACCAGGTGCTCACATGGAGAAAGACAGGAAACCTGTCCTACGATCTATGGGGGAGGGGGAGGTCTGGGCTCCGAGCACCCTAGGTGAGAGCCAGAAAGAGGGTGGGCTTCGTTGCACCCTATCCCCACCCATGCTTGTCCCCAGCTCCTCTCCTTTCCAAGAGCCAGATACCTATGCCAGGGGAAAAAAAAAATGGGACCTCCAGTCTGAGGCAGCCCTTCCGCCCCCTGCGGAGCCCGGGCCAGTGTGGTGGGACTTAGGGCAGAGGTAAGAACGTCCCATGTCAGCCAAGCCCTCAGCTGTGGCTGCAGTCTCCTGAAACCTTTTAGCAACCCAGAGTCCACTCAGAGGGAACAGCCTCCACGTGGCCACGTGTGGACAAGACCAGGCTTTTCCGTGGGAAGTTCACGAGCCGGGCATATCTGATAGCCCAGGGGGATGTGGGAGACCAGGTTACCCAGAGAATCAGCAGGTGACATGACCTCAGTGGCCCAATCAGGTGAGCAATGAGATCACACCTGTTTCCCAGCGCAGACATAGGACCCAAGGAACACCTGGAAAATAATGGCAGCCCCACACCACCTAAAACCAAAGCCAGTGGACACCCAGAGCCGAGACAGACACAGCAGGCAGCTGGACAGGGTCTGAGCCCCAACTGCTACAACCGAGCTGCCCTTAACTAGGCTTTCCCCCGAAAAAAACTGATATTGTGATGAAATAAAGCATCAGAAGTATTGATAGGAGGGCAGACCAGTCTGCCCTGTGGCTGGGTTCCTTCTCCCCGGGCCTCAGTTTCCCTTCTGGGAGCTGAGATGGCTGACCTGAAGAGCATTCTCGAGGCTGTGGCACTGACCCATGCTTTCACGGTGACCCTGGATCGCAGGGCAGCCTTGGGACAGGTCAGGCCACCAGAGTGATGGAAGGTGACAGTCAGAGCTGGCTCAGGACCAGGCAGCCCCCGCTGTCACGGAGCGCTCTGCACAGGTCAGTGGTGAGGCCCACAGCAAGGTCACGGCCCACAGCCCCCTAGCCGAGGCTGCCGAGAAGCCCTCCCACTCCATCTCTGCTCCTGGCTGCTCTATGCATGGCTGGAGGTAACATACAGGCCCCAGGTTTTGTTTGCCTTCAGAACCAGGGCTTGGCCTGCATGGCTGGGCTGCGGCGGGGCTGCATGCGGGGCATGCGGGGCAACCAAGCCGACCCTCTCCCACCTGAGCTGTGGTTTTGTTTCTGTTCCTACATGCCAGGCTCTCCCCCCGGAACTACCAGGCTCCCATGTCTCCGGGCTGAGTAGGTGATCAGGTGGTCAGGCATGCTGTACCACACTCACGGCATGCTGTACCACACTCACGGCATGCTGTACCATATTCATGGTATGCTGTACCACACTCATGGCATGCTGTACCACACTCATGGCATGCTGTACCACATTCATGGCCACAAGGTCAATGCCACCAAGGGGCAACTTTTGCACCTTACCAGATCAGGACAGCCAGGGACTAACAGCAACTGGAATAGACACCAAGTCTAACCATGCCTTAGGTTCCAACCCCTAGCACTGCCCAAAACAAGAAACGGCACCCCAGAGCTACGTAGATCACACCGGCATATTGAAGGTTCTGAAAAGTCCTGCCGGCTAGATGCCCTTCAGGTGTTAGCCCACTATTCTGCCAACATTTGAACTTAAGTTTTTGTTTCTATTAATGTCCCAGGGAACAAAACTTGGTTCGGGAAACTCTGTTGTGTTGCAGTGGAGGAAAATAAATGAGTGCCTTCTCCCTGGGCCTCAGTTTCCTCAGTTGTAACACAGGGCTTCATAAGGAGCTGCAGGGAAGCAAGGATTTGAATCCAACCGTAACCAGTTGCTGGGCCTCATATCTAGGTTCATAACATCCTATTAGGAAGGGGAGGCCAGTGGGTCAGCCACTCTGAACACTCATTTGTTTGTTCGAGGCAGGAACCCCCAAACTCGAGATCCTCCTGCCTCAGCCTCCCCAATGCTGAGGTTACTGGTATGTTCTAGCACACCCAGATGGGTACTCCTACTTTGAGGGGAAAACAGGCCCAGGGAGGGAAGGCAACTTGCTTGAGATCACCCAGCAATTGGAGCCTAAACCCTCCAGAAGCTGGGCCGCCACCTTCTTACAGAGAACACACAGGCTCCTCCCAAAGTCCCGTGTTCCTTTGGCCTCTTCTGAGGAAGCCCCAGATGTGACTACAGCTGGAGCACCAGCTGCTGTTAGACCTCAGTACCTTTGTAAAGTCCCGAGACACTAAATTTTAAACAGACCCTTGTGGGGCTGGAGATATGCCTCAGCGGTACAGCGCTTGCTTCCACCTCCCGCAACTCCCAAGAAGGCTACTAGAAAATGCACCCTGTAATAAGACAGGACTCGGGTTCAAATCCTGCCTCAGCCACATCCTCACTGTGTGTCCCGGAGTGGTTTCCTTTATGGGGGTCTCACTTCTTTCTCTACAAAATGGAGTTAAAACGCTGTGCTTCCTACCTATGTGGGGAGTGACAGAGACCGTGGCTTCACTCGTTAAGGTGAGAAATATATTCTCTCACATAATCAAAGGATGCCTTAAGGGCAGGGTAGCCCAGGGGTTGGCTGGGTCATAAGGAGCTCAGTGGTGTCATCAGGGACCCCATGCCCTTTCCATCACTGTCAGTCTATTCTGTTGTTGTGAAGGGACACCATGACCACAGCATTATTAGAGAAAGCCGCTAACTGGGGGCTGGCTTACAGTTTCAGAGGCTTCGTCCCCTGTCATCGTGGTGGGAGCTTGGCAGCAGTCAGACATGGTGCTGGAGCCCTAGCTGAGAGTTCGACATCCTGGTCCACAGGCAGAGAAAGCAAGGCTGGGCCTGGCATGGGCTTTTGAAATCCTGAGGCCTAAGCTCAGTGACATGCATCCTCCAACAAGGTGACACCCCCTAATCCTTCCCAAATAGTGCCAAACAGTGCCACTCCCTGGTGACTAAGCATTCAAATCTACGAGCCTATGGGGGCCGTTCTTATTCAAACCAGCACAATCGTGGTCTGGTCTCTCAGCCTCCCTTCCTACTCACAATATAGCTGCTACAGTTCCAGTCACCACTTCCAGATCCACCAGTGAGGAGCAGCCGGGGACACACACACACACACACACACACACACACACACACACACACACACACACACACACACAGTCTCTTCCTGTTTCTCCTGCTTTCCCAGAATTCCCACTCCCCCATCAGACTTGACCTGTTGCAGATCAGAACTGGGCCATGGGCTCTTCCCATACCAACATCTAGTGAGGGAATAGTCATAAGGTGGGGGTGTCTGTACTGTGCAGAGCAGGGTGTATGAGGAAGAGGAGGCCCAGCCTCAGGCTCACACACGGCAGGCTTCGGCCTGGTCATCGGCTTCCCGTTGTCTGAACCTTCCTCCACAAAGGGCACTCCCAGCCTGGCCTCTCCCCGCACCCCCTTGGCTCTTCAATCCCTGGGTTGTGGATCTCTGCTGGCCACGTCTCTCCTCCCAGCCTTCTCGAATCCCCCCTCCCTTTTGGGAAAATCTCCCTCATTGCCTTCAGGGACCCTGGAGTCCTCAGAAATAAAAGGTTCAGGAGGTTCCTCAAGTCCAGGCTTCTGCCCAGTCAGAAGTGGAGGCACAGAGGCCTGGGCTGCTTAATCACCCAATCAAAGCACAGATGCATCCACGGGGCTGCAGGCCCGGCATGGAGGTCACATTACCACAAACGGGCCAATATGGCTTATAAAAATCCCCCGAGTTCCGCACAGCCTTGACCCGACCCTTTGCTTATTATCCATTATTTCTCAGACAGCTTTAAACTTGGGGGACAGCGTCCGTCATACATGTGCTCACCCCAATGAGCCCCTCCAGGAAGGAAGCCAGAGGTCACTGAAGGGACAGGGCACCAAGAGAGCAATGGGGGCTGGGGGTCAGCTGACAGTCAGCCTCCCCCACAGGGAGGCAGAGGCCATGAGGGCACAGTGCTGGGTTCAAACCTCACCTTCACTGTTGGTGGCCCTGGCGACGGTCCCGACCTCTTGAATGCCTGCCGTAGAATTCTGGTTTGGGGCTTGGCTGGGTGGGTTCCGAATCCATTAACTATAGCTGACTGCATTATTAAAAATAAAAAACAAACAAAAAAACCCCAGCCGGGTGGTGGTGGCACATGCCTTTAATCCCAGCAATCGGGAGGCAGAGCAGAGTATATGAGGATCTCTGTGAGTTCGAGGCCAGCCTGGTCTGCAAAGCGAGTTCCAGGACAGACTCCAAAGCTACACAGAGAAACCCTGTCCTGAAAAAACAAAAACAAACACACACAAAAAAAATAAATAAATAAAAACAAAACAAACCAAAAAACCCCCAAAGGGCTGGAGAGATGGCTAGGTGGTTAAGATCACCGGCTGCTCTCACAGAGGACCTGGGTTTGGTTTCCAGCATCCACACCGTAGCTCACAACCACCTGTAATTCCAGTTCCACACCCTCTTCTGGCCTCCATGGGCGCTACACTCACATGGTGCACAGACACATGCCGGCAAAACAATAAATAAATCATTTAAAAAATAAGAAAACTCAGCAGTAGCCAAACTCGTTCATTTCTCAGGCATCTGTGGTAGCTCTGCCCCAGCGAACGCTCCTCCTCACCTTAAGGCTGGCCACGAAGGTCTGCTCACATCCCATTGGTTAACACACATCACATGGTCAAGCCCAGGTGTAGGAAATTATGCTCCGCTCACAGCAGGGGGCGAAGCCAAGTTTAACTGCTAAAGGGTGTGGATGAGAAGTGGGCAAGATGGCACACACCTGTCGTGCCTGCACTTGGCGGGTGGAGACAGGATTGAGGGCTCAAGGCCAGTCTGGGATACCGAGCAGAAGTTAACTTTCCTGGGGTGGGGGAGACGGCTGCTCCCCCTTCTCAGCCCAGTCTTCAGGAAAAGGGACTCGGGACCAATAAGGTCTACCCAATGAGAGAGCGTTCGGCTTCCCTGCCCTCAGAGATTGGCTCAGGAGTGGACATGTGTCCTGAGCCGGCCCAGCAAGAGGCCGCCCTGGGTCTGTGCCTGGGACAATGGATGAAGCTGGAAACTTCCTGGGCCAGCACCTTGGTGAAGACGTCCTGGGATAAAAGCCACATAAAAGCCGGGACTGAGGCCTGAAAGACAGAGTCTTAAGGACCCCGGCTGAGCCCCTGGGTCTAGCTATGTCTGAAGCCAGGATGCAGGGTCATTTTTGGTCATAGGGGCAAATTTATGGGCCCAGCCAGGCAGTGAAGGCCTGTAACCCCTCCAGCTGTTAGGCTGAGTTAGGGCGCTGCGTCTGCGGCCAGCTCGAGCTACAGAGCAAGTTCAAGGCTGAGCTGGGCAATCCAGGAAGACTCAATCACCAGGCCATACGCAGATGTCACATACAACAGAAAAAGTATGTCTACTACTCATGGGGAGTATCAAGGCTACCAGCTTGGGCCAGCGAGATGGCTCAGCGTCCAAGGAGGCTTGCCACCAACACTGGTGATCTGAGTACATAGTAGAGGGAGGGAAACTGATTCCTGACCATTGTCTTCTGACCTCCGCACGTGTGCCGTGGCTTGTGTGCTCCCACGCACACAAAAATGAATAGATGGAACAAATTTTAATTAAAAAGAGGGGCTGGAGAGATGGCTTAGTTGTCCTAGATCCTACAGTATGGAACTCCAGGTCCAAGGGATCTGCGCCCTCTTCTGG